GAGGCGCCCCCCCCCCCTTTTTTTTTTAGAGGTCTAGGCAGCAGGAGCCTGACTAATTATTAGGACCAGTTTTGCAAGAGAACAAATAGAGGTAAAACACAAATATGAAAGTAATTAGGAAAATGCAAAATCCTGTTTACTTGGCAACCGATTCATGCAACTGAGACTAACGAAGAGCAAATCAGCTTTGCTTATTTGATAAACTTAAGGGTGCCACCTAAGAGGAGCTGATAAAAATTAAACTTCTGCCAGCATCCCTCAGCACCGCCTTTTAGCGCACAGGCTCAGAAACATCCACGCAACTGCTTCATCTACAGGCACCAGCAAATCTGATTTGAACAGATTTAGGGGGAGGAATTTTGTAACTTCCATCGCTGTCAAATATTTTCCCCTTCGCGATCGGCCATCAGGGATATCTTCGAGCTGAACACCCAGCACAGACACCCGTATCACACATGCACACGATTGATATGGACACAGCGCACATGAACGGCACAGTTGTAACCAGTTCTGCTTTGCTCCCTAAAAAAAAAAAACATCGCATTTCCACTGCGCTTCACACCTGGGAAGGCTTTTGCCAGTGGGAAAGTTCTCCTTATAGTTTGCATCGCTGCTTATTACAATATATGACGATATGTTACTTGACGTGGGCTGTAGGCTGGGATACCTTTGTCCAGCCCTTCTTTTCTCCCGAGTAGATAGTGGAATCCACAAAAGCTTCCAATTATTTCAAGACTATGCAGCTAAGGAGGGGCGTCTGATCAAGATAAAGAAAACCCTCGGCTCAGTATATTTGCTTGAATGGATTTTCAATAATGCAGGTAACAAAAGCATTCAAAAATTGGATTCCTAATGCTTTTCTGCTAGGCTGAAGGACTGATTTTGAGAAGGGAGAAGAAAGCCAGCCCTGAGAAAGCTGCACGGAGGAATGTATGATATTCCCTCGCTCTGTACAAACACTTCTGCGGGGACTGAGAAAAAGGAAAGAGATTTGTGTGAGGCACGGTCGACCTGAAATGTAGTCAATTACAACACAAAGAGTTAAAATGACACCCCTGAACCGCTCCTCTTCCTTCTCTCCCCTCTGCTTTGTGGCTTTGCAACCCAGAAGCCGTAGTTTTCTTTCTTTTTATTGCTCATTTCTCATCTGCTGTTTGTATAGGAATCGTTTACAGAAGTAACAGGGGGAATTGCTATGGAAATCATACTATGAAAATAAATCAGAATGAGAGGGAGAAAAATAAAGGATGTTATTTTGCAACTGGAGTTACGAGATTCCTAGACAGCAGCTTGATTTTTATACAGGCAGCGTTCAATAAAAGTCAATCTGGGAAAATCAGCACTTGGAGAGAACAACAAATGTAGTTACTTTTTAAAGGATCTATTAGGATTAGTAGCCACATGAGCATAAATCTCCACCTACATGCACCTCAAACTACAGACCAAGAAAGCATCCGTGTGCAACACCCCTCGCTCCTGCACGCATCCTGATCTGCTCCTCCAAGTCTCTGGGAAGCTTCCAGAAGTGCCACTTGATAACGTGATCTTTACAGAAGTACTTCTTTCTTCTCGGAAAATGTTACTAGTCCAAATGAAATCCTGGCCTGGCAGCAATTTGTCCCCTATAGAACACTGGGCTGAGATCTCACAAAACCGCAGAACGAAGTATGAAAATTTAGATGATGATTTAGATGAACACAACTTTCCAGTAACAATACCAGAGTTTTGGGTCTGTTTTAAGCATTCGAAGTACATGTTAATTTACAACATTTTGACAAACATGCTATTTTACATCTTTTTTTGGAAAACAAGTAGCTGAGCTCTCGTTAACCAAGTTGCTTGGCTTTTGCGGTAGATGATTGAAAAGCAGGATGGATTCACACTCTATTCTTTTGGTTAAAGCCCCTGACATCTCTACAATTGCAGTTCCGGCATCCCCAGCACCTGCAAGGACGTGGCAGAGCAGACGAGCGTTACGGGTTCGCACAGAGTCACGGTGCTCTGCAAGGGAAAATACAGAAGTTGCTTGCTCGCTATTGGAAAACTAAAGCAATAAAGTCTATCCCAACATAAAATCCCAGTGTAATGAAAATATTCATCCCTGCAAAGCAAAAGAAGAAAGAGCGAGCTGGGTTGGTCTCTACCCACCATCCCATGCCAGGAAACATCATGTTGGCAGCATCCCTGGGCACATGCACAGCCAGGAGACAGCACATCCAAAACAGCAAACGATCAGGCTCCTGTGAAGGGCACAATCCCACATGCTTGTCCTGATGGAAACCTACCTAACCATGCTGCCCTGAGACCATAAAAACACACAGACACAGCACAACTAAAGAAAAATGGCTGTAGAAAACCTCTTGGTTCAGTAACAGAAGAAACATTTAAAAGCTAAATACATTCTGTGCATCTATAAAGGATGCTGCATTCATAAAAAAAAATTAAAAGATCTTCACAGTACAACAGATTCACAGGTTTCTTTTAAAAGAAAACTCTCCTTTTTGAAATCCATTATTTTATTTAGTGATGAGCTTTTTTCCCCACACACAAAACAACACAAATAGTTCATTTGGCAACGGCGATCAAAGACCAAACAACAGTACGTTCCTGCGAGGGCAATCACACTTGATTTCCTCTCTGTTGCCGTTTCTGTTGTCTTTTAAAGCCACTGTCATGTTGTCAAGGACTAATTCGGATTTTAAGTCTTGATTTTTAAGTCAAAATTTTAAGTCAAAATTTCAGCCCTTCAGCCTGGTGGAGGACCGGGTGCTACCCAGCTCCCCGCCTCAGATCTTTTTTCATTTTCCTCAGCCCCTGCAGCTCTTTCTTCAGATGCTTCACAGCCTGCAGAATATTCTGCCGCTGAGGATCGTCCTCTGCTTTCTCAGTGTACAGAAGGAAATGTTTCACAGTTTCGGAGAGCAACGCTTCAGGATCCACATCCACCCGATGGAGACGCAACATCCTCTCGCAGGCGATGGCGTAGTTTTTGTGCCAGTTCACTGGGTGATTTGGATGAGAGTTGACAATTTCTTTGTACGACTGTTAAAGGGACAAAAAACAAAAGGGGGACAAATTAATTGAACGAAGGGGACCAACAACTCTTAACAATGCTCCAAAACTGCCCATAAAGGAACAGATGCTATTTAGTTAGATGTCCAAGTCCAGAGTTGAAGCATTTCTGTAACTCACTCCGTGACTGCCGTGTGATGTGCAATAGTGTGAATCAGAAATCCAAGGGGGGCTGAAACGTTTCCTTCCTACGGCAGCTGTTTGTTTAGAAACATTACAGATGATCGTGATAACCCCACTGCACATTATGCGCTTCCCCCAGAGAGGTGTTACACCAGGCTGGGGAAAAAAAGAGATTTAACTGCCATGCCTGGAAAGACATTTACTCAATATTTCAGGAGATCAGGATGTCTTGCACAGGACTTAAGCAGTCTGTTGACTTGAGTGGGAATATTCATAAGCTTAACAGCAGGCATGCGCCTGAGAACTTTGCAGAACAGCGAAAAATCACAGCAAAACAGGCAAGAGTTGAAAGGAAATTATTTGTTGACTCTTTGCTGGGGTATGAAACACTCCTCCTCTCTGCTGACACACACCGATTGTTTTGTGCATCTGTCGGCATCTCAGGCAGTCCACAGTATTTCCAGAGATACCTACACCAGCTTCTGGGTGTTATTCTTTGGTGTGAAATGCAGCAGAATTAATTTGCAGTCAGAAGACTGTTGGATTTTACACTTGCTGGCTCAGACGCATGACTGTGTAATGACAGAGGGGACAAGTGTATAGAGGGGACTTCAGGACAAGCAATCTCTTGGCATGGGTTTGGAGCCCAGCACAGACAACATAATTATAGCAAAAGCAGGGTGTTGACTCGTTGGCTTTTGGCATCCTCTGTGACCGAGGGGGCAAGTAGGAATGGATAAAATCCCTGAACAAATCTCTTTGAATCTGCTGTGCTCCCGGTTTGGATGAACAAGGAGAATGCAGATTACAGGATCTATATGGAAACACCGTATTTTTATGGAGTCCAGAAATTACAAAAAAAAGGAAAAAAAAAACCAACAAACAAACCAGGATGGAGACTGCAGGGACCATTCATGACTTACTGTGTATGCAAATGTGTAAAGTTGTGATTTCATTTCTGCAGTCACGCTGGCAGCTTCTGCAAGGTCAAATATAAAGAAAGCTGTTTTCATCCTAGGAAAACAAGAAAAACTTCCGTATAATAACTGCATAACATAACCAGCTCACATCACATGGTTATACACATCTTCAACACGTCTGTGCGTGGGACAGTACACCAACATCTCCATTTCAGTCGTCAGTGATACAAATTTCTCTCCATAACTTATTTTCTCACCCTATGTCCCAACTACCCTCTGCTCCTTCAATATATGTTGAGCAGAACCTTTCGGTGAACAAAAAGACCGCTTTCCTGAAGGATTTGCTGGAGGCCATGCACGCTTCATCTCATTCTGCCAACCTTTTCCTTCTAAAGCTCGGCATGTTTAGATCCAATAAGGCCATGCACCATCAAGCTGCCTGCTTTGGTGTGTATTTCCACACCAGTGAGCTGGCATTGCCCACCAGCTGTTGGAAGGGAGCAAAGGAGCATCACCTGGCTTGCCACATCTCCTCGTTGGCGACAGCTTCCCAGGAAGAGGGCTTGAAACTAAAGGGGAATGAGAATAAAATTCAGCCATCAGATCCACGTCACTGTGCTTCACCCACCAGGCAATCAACCCTTCTAACCCAGGCAGCTACAGACTTCCCAGGAAGAAGAAAATCCGTCATGAAGCCTATGGCTCTGACAGCAAGGGAATTTAGCTCATCCTCAGTCTTTCATAAAACTTTATTCCTCTCTCGTCCTAGAAGGACGCTCTGGTATACCAGGTGTTTCACAGCATCCTAGCTATCCTCAAAGTGAGTGATGCTTTTTAGTATCCATCACAGTTCAGTCTATGACATTTAAAGCTTTGGATGTCCCAAGTCCTCAGTGTTTTTTGGCTCTTGATCAAGTTTTAAGATTGGAATTGGACCTGATATTTGACTAGAAATGTCCTCTCTATTTTTAACACTAATAAAAATACCACATGTGGATTTATTATATGTTCCAGAACACAAAACATTATGATTACGGCTCACGTTTAATTTCTCTAACACTGCAATGGATGTGGTTATGCTGCTGGCAGAAGAATGATGAGCAGAAAAGAGCAGAATCGCCTCTGCCTCGTACCTGCCGTAGTCTTCAGTCCAGTTATAGAGATTTCTTGTAAGATGAATCCACTCTCCTGGGTCAAACACAACATCAGAAGGAACCAACTTTTCACACGTACCCCATGGCCAAAGCGAATAGCTCCTTCTCCACGTCGAGTCACCTTCATGAAGGCCTATGCAGACAAAGACTTCCTTACTGCCAAAAAAACAGAGCGCGCAATTGTTAAGCCATGTGAGACCGTGGGCCACCCCGCGTGCTTGAGCAAACCACACACACCACACCAGTGCAGCAGACAGGTCTTAACCAGCACAGTTTCCACAGCACGGATACCCATCCAGACCATGTCCCATCAGAAAGGGCATGTCTTTGGGTCAATCTGCAAAACAGCTCTCTGGCTGCAAGCGAATACCCCATCTGGCATCGCACATCTTGTGCAGCCAGCACAGGAGACACATCCTTTCCCCTATGTTGGACCTCACAAACATGCCAGAAGCTGTAGGAGAAGCCCATTTCTTCCCGATGGCAATGCTCTTCTGCCTCCCCACACTCACAAGGCTCACCCTGGCTAGTCTAAATGCAGATGCTATTCTTATTCATGTGAGTATCTAATCCTTTCTCCACTCTTACTAAGCTATTTTTATATGATGATTATTCCTGGAATACATTCATTCTATGCTAATCAGTTGGCCACAACGTTCACGAAGGAGAAGCAGCAGCAATTCGCTCTCCAACCATCATAATTTTGAGTACACAGGAATGTTCCTTTTTTTGTGATGAATTGTATCACCACTGACAAAAAAAATAATCAGTAAATACTCTCTGCCGATCACCTTCTTATTTTTCCTTCCTAAAAACCAAACCAACCTCAAAACAACAAGCAACATTATATCCGGATGGAGTTACTTCTGCCTAGATATTTGCTTTAATTGCAAAAATAATCTCGCCACCGGGGAGGAAGTCAGTGGAGAAAATTGGTCTTTTGGATGCAGTACCAAGCTGTTCCATAAACAATTTCAAGAAAGAAAAGGTCGAAGATTTTAGGAAAGCTGTTACATATGAAAGAAATGCTTACTGTTTATTTACTTTGAGGAAACGATGGAGATTAAAAGTGAGTGTCCCATCGGGTAATACTCCTTCCACAGGATTCCACCGGTTCCCAGGAAAATAAACGCCAGGTAAATGCTTTGCCAGCTTGGGTAAATACCATTCATAAGTCATCATCTATCACCAAAAATATTATCATAATTAAAACAAGAAACAAAGTTTTCAGCCATTTTACATCCAGAAGAAACGGTTTCTGCAAGAGTAATGACTCTATTTACTCAGTAAAGTCACCTCCCATTTCAGCAATGGCCCCAGACCAGGTCACCAGTGGGTTCTGATCAGAGGTATGTGGTCCCCACCACTGAGCAGGCAAAGCTTTAAGGAAACACAAAATAGCTACTGCTGGTAAGAGACACAGCAGGGCTTTGGTTTGGTTAAATATGAAGCGTTGGGTTTTGGGTTTCCCAAGTCACAAACTCTTGTTGCAAAGCCAAGTGCAAGGACTGATGTGGCAGTGGAAGTGTGGGTGTCTCCTTCTGTAAGGGGGGGGGTGTTTCTTCTCCCATTTCTCAGGAAAATTTTGTGCAAACACCACCCAGGGACACACAGCACCTCCATTTCAGTGTAAAAACTAGAGGCAGAAGTCTGCAAAACCACTCTTGGGGGACCAAGGTAACAGAGGGGTTGCAGGGAATAAGCCTCAGCATGGTAAAGCCCTTGGGAAGAAACCCCAAAGCCACATTGCCCACGGGGCAACTGCTGACCTGCTGCCCTTCACACTGCTCCCAGAAGCCTTCTGCTGCCCCAACATCTGTATTTCAGGGCAACCACAGAAAACAGCAGGGACAAAGCTTCCTCAGCAAGGCAAACATTAGCCCTGTGCCACATCTGGAGATCTGCCATGATGAAGGACTTGGGCTTCCCCTTCTCTCTACCCGCTACTGCCTCCCTGTTGGTTTTTTGGGCTTGAATGGGACTTGCACACCATGCTCTATCCCAGAGCTACCTAAAACCTTTCAAAAAAACCCCCAATTTTATTTATTTCTGCATCACGAGTTTTATTTGAACAAAGAGACCCCCTCAAGGAGAGAAAGGAACAACTGAACTTTTGCTTTCTGTTTTTAAATCTGCCTGTGCCCCTTTTAATATTACTTTCTGAACCTACCTCTTGGTCCACTAAGGTGATATCTGGCCTCATCCCTTCGCAATAATGGACATAACGAAGAGCATTCCCGGGTAAGTCTCCTCTTAGCAAGATCACTGCACCCATTGGCATAGAGGACAGCAGATTCCTTGCAAACTTATCAACAACATAGTTGTTGCTCTGATCACAAGCGCTTAAGAGAACAGATGAAAAACAGTATCTTAAAACCAGATATTTGCATGGCTTTGTGCATCTTCTGAACAATTTTATGCAGTAGGCATCCACAGGGATGAAGTTCACCCTAGTCAGATCTTGCTGAAAAGCACCATCTCCATTTGCAGAGAAACCAAGATACAAAAATGAAGCATCTAGACTGCAGTCCCCCAGAAACCAGCACAAGAGACTTGAGCCACTACAGTTTTGTCAAAATACACACTCATTGCGTGCCTTCACCCTAATTCTGATTTTTTCTTGGGCTAAACCACAAGACTTACTAGTTGGTGCTCAAAGTGCCAGTACAACGATGGTTCTGTAAAGTATCTGTAATCTTCCCCATCCTTTTAATGCTTTTAATTAAGTACTAAAAAGTCAATTTTTTGTAGCATCAGGCAGAAGTAGATTTACGTTACCTGAGATTAGATTCTTTTCATTACATAGTTGTGTGTGCACACACTCCAGGTATGGACTCAAGAAGAGGACACTCCATGACATGGCTCAGAACATGAGCAATGACTGGCTCAGCTATGGACCAGCCTGATGTATATGAAGGAAGGATTCTTGAGTATGAAGTCTACACTTTGTTGGTCAACCTCTACTTGAGTATCCCTACTACTACGCTGATTCCTATCCAAGCCACTGCAGAGTCTTCAGCATGCTTATGGGATAAGGAAGCCCCACACTACAGATCTAACTCTTCAAAAAGGAAAAAAAAATAAGAAAAACCCCAAGGCACAAGGAAACCTGAAGCAAAGCAAGGGAAGAAGGTGACTGTTCAGGTCAAATGAATTCTGCAAACCTCCTTAGGAAATAAAGTACAGATTCATAAGCTTGTTTCATTAGAAGTTTACATATCTACAGTTTTCTTCCTTCAACCTACATGACACGCCCATTTACAGCCTGGAGTTGGCACTTGGTGATCTGGAGGTTCAAACAAGGGAGTCCTGCAGGTTATGACCATGCAAGCTTAGGTGGGATGTGAAAAACGCCTTTCCCACTTCAAGACAAGGATCAGAAACCCCAAGAGCAGGGGTGGGGGGTTTACAGCAGCACCCCAACCCCACAGCACCTCACAGCCCCACGAGGCTGCACCAAGACGCATGCCTGGGGGATTTGTTACCTGTAATTTGCTGAAACTTGAGAAGCAACAAGAGCAAGAGCGGAAAGCCACTCCAGCCATGGCAGCATCCGGCTGCCCTCCAGCACGGAGCTTCCAACCGAGGTGAGCGCGGCCAGCCCCAGCCCTGCCAGCACAGCCACCACGGCACTGCTCTGCAGCCAGAATCGCTCCACCTAGGAAACAAAATCCCCGAGACCCTACTTCTGTTTCCCCAGCTATAAGGAAACAGAATAAATAGCTGTATTTTTGCACCTTATGCAGCTTTAAGACAACCACCTGCTCCTGATTAGGTGATTTTAAGGCTTCTTCCAAAAACTAACACGTCAAGAGCAATTTTTGGAGTGCAACTTACCACGCCCAGAAACAGAGGTTTTGTAATATCCAAATTTGCTCGCCAAGCAAAGAAAAGGGAGTAAAGACAGAGCATTCCAGCGAAGAGCCTGATCACAGGTGATTTCTGCTGCTTTGTCCTAGAAAAAAAAAAAAGTAGCACTCTAATGGTATGATGAAAAAAGGAGACAAAAGTTATATGTGCTTGAAAACCACTCTCTCTCTGCATATTGAAATGCATTTAATACAAGGAGCCAATGAGCCTTTCTTTACCTTTGCAATTTATGAAACTTCTGTTTTCAAAGCACAAAACCATCAGGATTTCAAGATTTTTAAGCCTGCCATCTACAAAGCCACAGGGTCACCAGAAGCAGGGATATTTTGCTCTCAATTAATAGATGACCACAGCCAACTGCTGAAATTTTTGCACCAGCAAGCAGAAGGCAAAGCAAGCTGCCCGCAAAGGCAGTAAGAAAGCGCGTATCGGAGCAAATATTCTCCTCCAACTTACGGCAGTGCTGTGCTCACGCAGGCCACGAGTGCCAGGGCAAGGACGGGAAGGGAGAGCTCTGACTTCATCTGCGCCAGCTGAAAACTGCAGAGAAATTAGTGCATGGATGCGTCATCCTCAAATCGCCCCTTGCACTCAATTTAAGCATCAAGAGAAGCAGGGAATAAGCACAACATAACATATTCCCATTCTGCTGTGATTAAGTCTACCAGAAATGGGAACAAGCTCAGTTTACATGTAAGGATTTTGAATGAAAAATCACTGGGGAGGGGGATCCAGCATTTTTCCTTCAATGGTGAAAACAAACAGACATGCATGCTTTCCCTGTGCCGGACCCCAGCTCTGGACCAAGCCAAGGAAAGGCAGGATAAGACCCGCTTTGGCCAAAATGACAGCAGCAGCAACAGGTTTCTCTCCACTAAAAGGCACAGTCAAGATTTTACTCACACCAGCATCTCTCTCATACTGGACCCTGTCTCAGCCTTGGCCTGGATTAAAAAGAAAGAAAACCTGTGAGAAACCCACACACTGATTGCTGAATCACTGGGGCAAGGAAAAGTCTTTTTGTTTTCTGTTTGCAGAGCCCTCAGCACACTGGGCTCCTCAAAACCGCTTCAGGTGGTCACAGGGAACAGGAATTGTTTAAACAACAAAAAGACAGCAAACTCTACTCAAACCTTCATTGCAAAATTTTCTCCCATGTTCTTGTTTTACGTTATGCCACTGTGCAGGGCTTACCACCTGGATAAGCATTTCTTCAAGGTGCTACCAACCCATTACCCTGTGACTTGAGCACATCATATGGTCTAGCTATGATCTCTGCTGTATCATCGAATCATAGAATCATTTAAGTTGGAAAAGACCTTTAAGATCATCCAGCCCAACTGTTAACCTAGCATGGTCAAGACCACCACTGAATCATGTCCCTACGCACCACGTCTACAGGTCTTTTAAATACCTTCAGGGATGGGGACTCACTTCCCTGGGCAGCCTGTTCCAATGCTTCACAACCCTTTCGGTGAAGAAATTTTTCCTAATATCCAATCTAAACCTTCCCTGGCACAACCTGAGGCCGTTTCCTCTTGTCCTATATCTACATGGTGCAATTATTTTCTGGGACATTTCCCCACAGCCTGAGACAGGCAGGTGGGCCTCAATTCCTGCTTGCTTACCAGACTCCCCCCCATCCCCTCTGCCCTGACAGAGGCAGAGCTGTATGAGATTTATATGAGATACATGAGAATTTTTATTGCAGAGACTCGCAATCCATGGCACAAGTCTGGGAAAGAAGACATGCTCAGTGGAGGTGAGGAATTACTTTCATAGGTGCTTGTTGGAAAAGTGATGGCTACCAGATAAAAGATAAGGTAAACAGATCCAGGGTGTCTGGAAGGAATATTTAATCTCAATAAAAATAGAATAGTTAATTGCATTCAAGATTTAATTAAAAAATAAAAGTGCTAGAGGATGGAGAGCCAGCCCACAACTCCTGAAGCACCACTGCTACCTCTCTGTTTCTTGCAAAGTCCCACCTTGCTGGCAGCTGATAGCTTCTGGCCCCTAACACATCCCTTGCAGGAGATGACATTTCTGATCCTTGGCTTATAGGTGGAACCCTCTCTTGAGTCTTTTCTCCGTTTTTTTTTTTTTTAACCCTGCCTGCCCTTAAAACAGAGCTGTGGGATGCAAGGGCTGTCTGTCCACCCAGGCAGAGCTCTGGCATTAGCCCAACTGGCGTCAGGACCAAACGCTTGGATTTTGCTGCATTTATTGCTCCTGCTTCAGACAAGTTCATCGTAAATGTGATTTGTGGCATTGGATTACACGCAGTTCAGCCCTAAGCTCCTGAACATCAACTTGAATTCATCACATTTGATGGAGAAACAAGTTAAGGGATTTGCATGCCTTGGTATTGCTCTGCCCAATGGAGTCTCATTCTCAGGAGACAGCTGGGAATAGGACAACAGGGAAAATCTCAGAAGTCCTTCAGAAGGTGGATCTTACATCTGCAGGAGTTTTGGAAAGATTAAGTGGCAGAAGCAGGAATTATAAAGTCTCTTGCCTCACATCCTACAGCCACCCAGCTCTCCAAGAAGGCTGTAATGGAACGGCAACGGTGCTCGCTGCATCACATTGGTTGGATGCGGGAACTTCGTTTCTGAGGATACGGGGCTTCAGGACCTCAAGGAGTGACACAATATGTAAACCGTACCTTTTTCTCTTTTTTTTTTTCTCCCAGTGGTGCAATTTCCCAGCCCTCTGCACTGAAATCTCTGAAGCAGGAAGGACAGAAGGGGTGTTGGGTGCTTGCTTTCCTTGGGTGGCCAGAGCCAAACATCTAAGTCAGGGCTGGAGGAGGCAGATGCAAACCCTACACCCTGCAAGCAACCGTGCAATACTTCCCTCCCTTGGCAAGAGCACAAACCTGTCAATAAATCAAATCAGAGGCTTCCAGGACCCCTCAAACTTACCATTCATTTAAATTCAATTTTAGTAAGAAGTAAATTAAGAGGAATCTTTTTTAAAGGTACAGCAATGAAAACTGCTTGCAACTTCTTTAAATAGCTGAGTTTAAAATACAAAAATAAGAAAATTACTTGTCTTAAAACAGGAAAAACACAAAATTATGTTACTGTCTCCCTCTAGCACAGTTTGCTCTTTGGATTTTTAGAAATATGAGACACCTGTACAGCTCCCAGTAAATAATATGGCTCACCCCGTAAAGGCAAAAAGAATTCTTTGCTTTCCCAGCCACGTGATCCATTCCTAGAAAATCTGACAGATCAGAAGGTCAAAATCAGAAAGAAATTTTTAAAAAAGAAAATATTTCCAATTTCTTCCCCTACAAGCCATTAATCGTCACAAATAGAAAGGTTCTGCTATTGCCTAAGTTGAAAGAAAGTAATTTAGAAAATGACCCTTATTTACCAGACTGAATGTCCCATATTCTTCCCTGAGAAAGTGGGTCAAAAATCCTTGAAAAGTCGTCTGGTCTCCCCATGTCCAACGGGCTCGATTGAGGTAGGACGAAGCCGGCAGATAGAGATAAGGCAGCAAACCAGCCAAGAAGCATAAACCCAACTTCAGCAAATGGCCTAGGGACAATTCCTGCACCAAAATATGTCATATTGCATAACAATGTTTATTTTAGTTTAATCACGCTGGAACTTCAAGAACAGATAAAGAAAAAACATCAAATATATTTACACAGAGCTGATCTCTCAATTTATAGTAAGTCCCTACAAAATGCTATGTTAAACCTTACGATTTTGTGGATTACTAGGAAACTGCATCAAACTGATCTCCTTTGCATGGCAGGGTGAAATTTAAGTGAAGCAAATAATATTAGCTAGGACTCATGAGTATCATACTCATTGCATCTTTCACATTTAAATCATGGCATGACATGCATAGATGGCTGAAGCACTGCAAGGCTGAGATAACCCACTTTGCAGCGATTAAGAGTTGGCTGGTATTCCATCTGGCAAAAAAAAAATAAAAAAAATATGCTGCTCTAGTACAACTACACACATCATCACCATCATCAGGAGTCAGTTTTGCCATTTACTTTATCGTGATTACACTGGCTAAATTAGATAGGCCAACTTTTGGGGTGGGATTTTCAAGACTGCCTGAGGGGTCAGGAAGACAAGACTTTCAAAGGGACTTCTATGCCTAACTCCTTTAAGGGCTTTGGAAAATCCCACCCTAGAATATTGCACGCTTGCTTTATCGTTAACCACTGCCCTGTCAATCAAAGCACTTCTTCGGCAGTTGGGGTTATGGGGAAGAGGCACCATTCAGAGTGATGATCTACAGAGCAGAAAAAGTAGCTTGGTAATGGTGGCGGCCGGAGTTCCTTCAGAAGAAAGCCTGCTCTTTTTTACTTAAAAAGGTACTGTTTTCCATCAATTATCCTTCTTAGGAGGTGGTTTTCTGCAGCAGGCATTGCTGGGCTGTCTAAAGTATTTCCCAGGAATACTGGCACAGGATCATCCTTGCTAGAAATCAGAGAGGTCTCTCTGGACCTCCCCAGTTAAAAACCAAAAAGCTCTGTTTAAAGAACACAAATATATTGCAAAAGCGAGTCTTCATTGTGTTAAAGGAAATATATAGTCAGAAAAGGGTTTGCTGGAGACCCTGAACAGATTTTGGATCAAGCTTGTCTGAGTTGCATCTTACCTCTTGCAGCTCACATGCTTCACTCCAGGCTTAGTTATACCCTGTGCCATTACCCAGAACCACACCTGATTTATCAGGTCGTGGGTGGAAAAATACAGGTAGGGCTGGCCCAGCAGAAACCTGCCCAACTGTCACCTTCACAGGGGCAAAAGAGAGAAGGGGCTAGAGTAGGTAGAGGCTGCTCAGGGCCACTTGCAAAGGGATCAGAGCATCTGTGTCGTTGAGATGTGCAGCCATTTTCAGGGCAAAGTAGTTTCTACAACACGTCTGCATCCAGTCTGATGCACTGACTCACAGAAGACCACCTACAGAAGAAAAGAGCATTGCAGGGCCCCTGATCGTCACCCAGGAGCCTCATCCAGATGGATGCGTATCACCTTCATAAGTCAGGCACGCAAAAATGTGTTTTCACCTACACAATGAGCAAGTTTAATAAACAGGCGTAAAAGGAGGGACATCTTGAGAATGGGATCTCTGGTAGGAGATGAAAGGGACACATTTGACTGGATCAGAGGCTTGCTGTTTCGCTGAAGGTCAGCCTTCCTTTGGTCTTCTCCAGCTGGTGTAAGCCAGGTGCTCTTCACCTGACAGCCGATCTCTTCTAGGACTCTCAAGTCCTGGCTGCACCAGAGCTGAAGGCCACCAAGCCCGGCACATCCCAAGGCGATGCTGAAGAGGACCTCCCCCTAGAGACAAGCCCCTTGCACCCTTCTTGCCATGCTGCTTATTCTGGCTGCACCTTCAACTATCAACAGCTGTCGCAGGATGCTCTGCAATGAGTGGACATGGCTTTTGTTTGTTACTACCAGGGAACCAACATAGAAACTCTTCTCCCGATGAGCTGATGGCATGAGAAAGCCAGTGCCATCAGCCAGGAGAAGCAGCGCACACAGACTGCACATGCCTGTGACTCCTCACCAGCAGATATTTATCTG